TAATACAAAGCCATTGGAAAATGGGATGTCTCGAAAACGAAGCTAGGTGTCGTCTTCCAATGGAACCAGACAGACAAAATCTAGTGAGAGGTATTCAAACAAATAACTTAGTAAATAAAGGATATATCACAGAATCAGCAACAACAGGGCAAGGAAAGAAACACCCGCAAGTTCTTCTTCTTGTTCCCAAATATATTAATAAGATGTTTCAGAGACTTAATAAACACCTGGCTTAGATTGCAATCGGCAAATTGAGGCTTGACAAGTAATGGCATATTGGATCGGGTTACTGAGTTGTCAGAAAGGAATTGACAAACTATCACCTAGACCTTTCCGACTAGATGTAGATTTGTATATTGTGGGCTGATATGTCCAAATATGTTAATAGTACATTTTAGAGTGAAGTGTTTTTGTAACATAAGTACCACTTAGACTATCATGCGGACGTTTCAATCTAAAGTCCTCCAAAAATCAAAATTTTACTTAAAAAGTTTACTCTTTCTGATGACTATAATTGGCTTGATATTTCCTAGTAATAATTTATACGTGTAGATGACATCTGTTTGCAAAACGCGGTTTCTGATTTATAAACATGGCTATAAGTGCTCACTTTTTTCCATGCTTATCTGTACCAGAAGGACTATTAGGTGCTAGTGCTCTGCCCGAGTGTGACTTATGCCCAGTTGAAGTGAGCGGAGCCGAGCCAGAGCCACTGATGCTAGACTCATTCAGTTTGCCACGTGAACCAGATGGCCCGCGTCTAGAAGCTGCTAATGAGGAGGTCGTTGACTTAGAGCTGAGAGCTCCGCCTCGTCCCGTCGAAGCTCCACCTCCGAGGCCAGCATAAGAATAAAATTAAATAGGGAGAAAAGTAAATGCAAAAAGAGTATTGGAGAATAAATATTAAAACGGCGAAGATAGCGTGACTGAAAGCAGAAGGAACTGGAAGATGATGGAGATGTAAGGAAAGTTACTAGATTGTCCTAACCGTCAAAATTGTAAGTTAGAATCCAAAGTTGTAAGAAGCATAAATGCCATAAACTTCAGAAATAGAACACGAGACAATATCGTGGAAATAGGACGCATATTCAACATTTAGTGATTATTATATCTAATAGAAACATTAAGAGGATATAAAGTTGATATGACCGTACATGTATTAAATAGTAAGCGAATTCGGTAAAATCACGAAAAGGTATATAATAATTTTAATGGTATATATTCGGGGAAAATAACTGAGAAAAGCGAAGCTAAGGTAAAACAATAAGGTGGATTTGGAATTTTCGAAAACATCCAAAAACTAGCACTGATAAATAGATGTTAAGGCAAGACAGATGAATCGTTGGAAGATGTAAAATAAGATATCTGATATATGCCAGAAAAGAATATTCTCCCAGAGATATCATTAAGAAAAAATGAAGATAAACTTGGGAAATATTATTGTACCCGTAGCCTTTAGGATGAAAGAGCGAAATTTGGAACATAAAATTCAAATAATAGCCATAAAGTAAAAATTTAAAAATAATTGAAAATAAATGGATTTATATTCATGATAATCAAAGAGATGAGAATGAATTAAAAGATGCAAGGTAAAGCCTTAAGTATAGCTTGTTAGAGCTCATAACAAATTTTTTTTTAATTGTAAAGTAGGATATACTCCTAAACGAATTTTGTATATAGACGATTTTACATAGACTGCTAGTAAGAAACAAACCAATATATTACAAATGCTATGTAATTCCATAATTGAGCCATAAAACAAAGTGAAATTTAAACCAAATGCGGTATTAATAAGACTACAGTTACTTAGCAAAACTCCAAGGTTCTCATTAAGTGTAATCACTAATGGGAAAATATTAAGTAGTCGATAAAGTAAAATATCAAATAGGTATGTGAATAAATGATTGAGGTAATAATTTTTAGCGTTAACCTAGAATCTAAGATTTTATATTTAAAATATCATGTAAGATGGTTGCAAAATAAAGTGAACATCACTATTAAAGAAACGAGCAGAATGAAGCTAACTACATAAAAATTACCAAAGTTACAACAAGTACCAAGAGAAGTATCGGAAATAAATAATTTAAAAAGAAATCATAGCGAAGTATTATGGGCTGTTAATATT